ATAGCACAATGCACAATACTGCAAAAATGTTTGCATCTTACATGTAGCAAACTTCAATTATTACTACTTTTTTTTTTTTTTAAACTTACAATCAAAAAATTTTATGCTTTCTTAACTTTAATCATTTGTTAGCAAACTTTCAAGGTATTAACAAGAGTGTTCCGTTTTTATTCAATATTTTTCCTTGGTTTCATTTTTATTCGATCATTTTTGAAATTTTACTTTTTTAATTCGATTAAAAAAGAAAAAAGAAAAGAAATTTTAAAAAAAATGACGGATTTTATTATAAAATAATAAATGATTTTTTGTTTTTGTTTTTTTTGCATAATTTGTTTATATTAGAATTTTTCATTTTCATCCCAAATAATGAACCATTACAATTTTCAAATAATCATAATTAAAAATAGTGATAATTTAAAAATTATTGCAAATGTACCGAAAGAAAAAACAAATGTTTAAAAGGCAAAACAAAAAAAAAAATGTACATCAATCTTATTTTATTTTTTCTTTCGATGTTTTTTTTAACATATATACATATTCCATATTATATCTAATAATCTAATATCTAATCGATAAATATATTTAATACTAATAATTTATAAAAAAATCCCAAAAAAAAAAAAAAGAAAAATATTTCCATTTAAATTCAATATCATATCTAGTTATTTGCTATAACATATGATAGAGATAAACAGTAACAGTACTGATCAATTGATCAAAATTCATTTTAAAATATATTACAAAATTTATAAATCAAGTCAGTTTTTATTAATTAAATTAATTTTTCTCTTTTTTTTCCAAATTTAATATTCTCTTTTTTTTCTTTTCTGGAATTTAATGAATGGAAAAGGAAAAGAAATGCAATAAATAATTTGATAATGTTGAAATAATTCATAATAACAATCATTGTTTATATAAGGTTTTAAATGCTGCACAATTTTTCAATTTTGTTAAATTTGATAAATTATTTTTTTTTTTATTTTTACCTAGGTATATATATGTGCATATACATATATATAGAAAATTATACGTATGCGCATCTATCTGTCTGTCGACATATGCACATGTATGATAAATGATTACTGATAAGCAATTTTATTGACACAGTAAATTTGCTTACACTTGAAATGTTCAGTGTATAATGATGATAATGATAATGATAATGGTTATGATGGTTATAATGATGATCGAGTTGAATGACAACAATATCGGTGACAGTGTTGACATAAAAATAGCGAAAGCTTAGATGAATGTTAGAATGTCTTCTCTTCCGTTAAGATAACAGTTTCGTTTGCAGCTAATCAATGCATATACATACATATATGTATATATGCATGTATTTATGTGTGCGTGTGTGTGTATGTGTGTATGTGTGTGTGTATGCATGTATGTGTGTGTGTATGTATGTATGTGTGTGCGTGTGTGTGTGTGTGTGTATTGATGGTATCACTGTATTAGCATCTATCTACTTGGCGCTATTGTCCATTTTCGTATTCCATAATAAGCTGATTGTTTGCATTTACAGAGGAGAGAGCTAAGGACAATTTGTCATGATCTTCTTCAACAATCATTTTCATTTCATTTCTCAAATATTATTTTCATTATTTATTGTTGTTGTTGTCAATGAACAATTCTTTAGTGGATCATTTCAACAAACTCACCAACGGTTTATTTTCATATATTTAATTAATTAATTAATTAATTTTTTTTTCATTCATCTATATAAATATTATTGTTAAATATTATTATCAGGAATGCAATGATAATATATGATAATTATTAAGTTTAAAATTAATTCAATACAATTAATATTTATTTCTACTACTATTGTTAATGATTACTACTAATTTTTGAAAATATTAAAATTAATTCGTTGTAATTAACATTTTTATAATAGCATAAATCAAATGATTTAAATTCATTTAATGATAAATATTAATAATTGTTTTTTTTTCCTTTCGTTTTTCTTAAATTCAGATTTGATCAATTACATCAAGGAATGCAAAAAAATTTTCAATATCAACAACAACGACAGTATCCATCATATTTACGACAAGATTTGAAAAAAATCAATCAAATACGAGCAAATAATTCTGGCATAAATTTTAAAAATATTCCATTAAACAATGTAAGCATTAAAATTTCAAAAAAAAAAAATCAAAATACCAAAAAAAAAAGAATGAAAGATTTGAAATTTCTCGTGTGTTACT